CGGCCAAAAGACAAAGGTCTCGTAGGAAGCAAGCCAGAGTCACCCTTCCCAGAACTACACCCTCAGACTCACCTGACACATTGTCCTGCTTCCGGCGGCGGAGTCTGATCACCTTCCCCCTGCTCATTCCTCTGCCAAAGGAGAATGCACAATTGAGGCTGGTTTGTAGGAGTAAAGTCACTTGCAATTCAACAGGGTGTCACAAGACGCGTGCCCTCGGTGGGGCCCAGGATGGCAACAACATCGATTTAACATCCTCAGCTCCACTCCTGGCGCCACCAACACTCGTCAGGCTGACAACGCAAAGGAGGAGGGTCAATACCGGGCAAAGCGCTGGAAAGAACGCTCCGGTTAGCAGAGGGAAGCGCGCCCCACAGCCCACACGAGACAGGGCGCGGCGTGAGAAGTCAGCCAAGGAGCAGCCCAGAGCCGCGCTGCACCGCAGCCTACCTGCACTTCTCGCACTTGAGGAGGAAACCATCCTGGGAGACGCTGCAGTGGCACCACGTGGGGATCGATTCTCCTTCTGAGGAGCTCTCGCTGTCCCCGGAGTTCTCCTCATCAGGCGAGTGCAGGCCGTTCAGTTCTGCACGAGGTATAATGGTCTGGACGGGAGGGGAGGCTGGCGGCGTCGGAGGAGGAGGGGCTCCATAGTTATGATCCTGAAAGCGAGGATTCACAGCACTACTTTTAACGTGAAGATACGCTGCCTAGGAACTGAAGTCCCAAATCCACAGCTCCCAGGTCATTATTAACAGCTGGTGTGAAACAGCAGCCTGACTCAGCCTCCCGAGAAGGTAAAGCCACAGCCCTGGAAGAGGGGAAGGGTTTTCCCCTGCACCAACGAACTCAATTCAAAACCTCTGGAAGCGAGACGTCAGTGGTCAAACACTGAACCAGCCACTCAGAGATGTTGGGGAGCTTCCGTCCGCTGAGATATTCAACACCCAACTGGACACGGCCCTGGGCAACCTGCTCAAGCAGAGTCAGCTGGAGCAGGGGCGGGTTACATCACCGCAAGAGGCCCCTGCCAACCCCAGGGATCCTGTGACAGCCTGCTCATTCCACACTGTCACGCCACGCTCCCCTTCTTCCCGAGCGTCCCTTGTTTCTCCCAGTTCTAAGTTACCCGTGTGAAGAGTTTGTGGAGGTGAAGCAAGCCTGAACAGTGCACAATAAACCGAACGGGCTTAAAATTCCACCCGGAAAACATCATCTATTTACATCCGTCCACTCCGTTAAAATCCGCCCCCTTGGCCGCCGGTGCAGCTCGCTGCGGAGCGGGTTAACAGGCAACGCTCCCCGGCGCGAGGCGGGAAGGGGAAAGCAGACAGGAAAGAGCCGAGGCGCCGCAGAGAGGGTACTCACTGCGTAAGGCAGCCCGCGATAGCTGTGCTTCTGGGTGGCCCCGTAGCCGTGGCTGGAGTACACATTCTTCTCACTGACAGCTGGACTCGCTTCCACAGACTCTGGGCTGCAGAAAGGGCCAGAAGGAAAACCCATCAATAGCGCGTCGGCGTTCCGGTGCCGGCGCTCCGCTGCGCCTCTCTATGCGAGGCACGAGCTGAAGACGAAGGCGCTTTGTGAAAGCGAGGCGTCGTCACGCGCCTCGCCAGGCATCACGTGCGCACAAGCTGCACAGGATGAACCTGCTCTCAGGGGGAAGGAAGGGGGCAAGGGCACCCTGGGTCAGCAACTGGGTCTCAGTCTGGGGAGCTGCAAGGTAATTAGCACGTAAGAAGCTCGGCTCCCTCGCAGCTGAGCACGCTGTGCCTAGCTCAGCATTCCCATCGGCCGGCCTAACTGCAGAGGCACTGCGCGGCGCTGCCACGCTCTCTCCCAGCAGCTCGTCTCCCCCCTCGGGGGCTGCTGCCTGCGCGCAGCCCCTGCCCTAAGGTCCGCAGGACGCCTGCGGCTGTCCTGACAGCAGCTACCAGGAGCTGGAGAGCCCGCAGGATCCACGGCCTGGACAGACACGGCCGAGGCAACTCGGACTGGCCCTGCGCTTCCCGCACAGCGACACGGCGTGCGAGGTCTGCAAGGGGCATCGGCTGCCGAGTCCCGCGTGCTCCTCCACCGCAGGGCAGGGAAAACCAGCTCAAACGGGAGGCGCATCCTCAGCAGGCAGCCGCAGCCCCGCTCCGAGAAGGGCCAGCGCTGTTCTGTGGGGGATTAGGTGGGGAGGCTCCAGGCAGCTCCCCAGCAAGGAAGCTGTTACAAGCGGGAGATCTGCGTCAGCCAACCTCAGCACAGCTCAGACGACGGGCTGGTACCAGAAACGGCAGAGCACTGGTCGTGTCTGCAGCGGAGACGTCCGAAATGGCAGCACGAAGCTGAGCGGGGCGGAAAAACACAGGAAAGGAAAACTTTACCTGGGCCTCCGGTGCCGCGGCGAGATCTCGCAGGGCTCTGGGTGGGTCCTGCCCTGTCCGCGTCACTCAGCAGTACTCGACCAGCGACGGACACGCGGGGTGTAGGCAGCACCCAAGAACCCCAAACCCTGCGCCCTCTGGACTTCCGATCAGCTCCTGAGATCTCGCGGCACCCCGCCACCGAACATGACGCTCCGCAGCGCACTGACCTGAGCTCCCGGCTCGTTCTGGAGTCAGGATCTGCCTCTGCAGCGTAAAGGAGCTAGAAGTTCGTGCACACAGAGCTGCGGAAAGCACAAGACCCTAAGCCTATGCAAACCACAGTTCTGCAGCTGAGGATTTAGGAACGTGGCAGGATAAACTCAGCTGGTTTTCACTCTAACTACAGCCAGCTACGTGGCCGGGGCAGGAGAGGGGTGGCGGCACCCCAGAGATACCCCAAGCCCTGAGAGACTCCGTGCTGAGCTTGTCGCACACCCAGCCTGGCTGGGCCTTTGCAGCAGTCCTGAAGGACTTCCAGACAGGTACACAGCTACATCCATCCAGGTTCAACCGGACTTTTGGAAACAACCTTAGAAGGAAAAAAGCCTCAAGAGCCGAGCAGCAGATCCGTCCGAGCCTCCCACGTCCCCACGGCCAGCCCAG